CAAATGAATTCCTCCTCGTGCGGGTGGGGTGTGCGACCGAACCATGTTAGACGAATGTCTTTTCTATTGCACTACCCACCCGCAGAAACTGACTCTAGTCTGTGGAACTGCATGTTCGAGATTTGGTCTGTAAGTCGGAGCTGTGGTATTCTCGAGGACATTTGCCGTCGGACGCCTCGATGTTCCCAACGGAGACACATTTTCGATTCTTATCGTTTTCTTCTCATAAACCTCGAAGATCGGTCCTCCGCACCAGTTCGGAGAAATCGTCAAACTGAAGAGCACAGTCCAGGCCTTCAGGATCGTCAGAAGGCTAGACTGCGCTCCTCAGTTTGGCGATTTCTCCGAACTGGCGCGGACGACCAATCTTCGAGGCCACCGATACAAATTAAAGATAAAATATGCCAAACTCGAATTGCGGGCCAAATTCTTCTCCCACCGACTGGTTGAAGGATGGAACAACTTGTCGAACTCCGTTGTCTTAGCGGAAATCGTTGGGACCTTCAAAAAAAGAGTGGATACATTTATGCTTCATGGTCAAACATTTACCCGATATCAATGACTGGTATAACTGTTATGTAAATATCTGCATGTTTTTTCATACGTCTATCTGTGAATAGAGTTTTTCAAGGCTCTGGCTATATGCCTCATATATACTGAATTATACTGAACCTCGTCGTCACGTGACGGAGACTTCCAATTGACAAACCATGTTTTACGCTACTCGTAGGTGCGGGATATTACAAACAGGGTAAAAGGTAAATTCATTTGTGCAAATCCGTCTAGCAGTGTTCTCGATGTCCAAGCATCCGGCTTTCGGCATAATTTATGCAACGATGACTATGCAGGTTAGGGCAGTCTGTCTTTTCTCGAATGAGTCTTCAGGTAGGATGATGTTTAGCAAAGCTAAAGTTAGAGACGCACAGGTTGTGTCTTATCTAGACTCTCCGTAGTCGTAAATTGGTGTTTTTCACATAGGTTGCATGCCTCGGGGTTGGGAGTGACTGGCTGACGATGGCTAATAACTTGGAAACGTCCATTTTATTCATCCCCGTCGTTGTCGATAATGCTGTATATATTGCGCCCGCTATGCGGCTGCTGACGGGGTTCGTGGGGAAGCCCCAAAACAGAACGGGATGGACGAGTTCAGTTACGTCATCAGTGAGCGCCATTTTACCGTAGGCCTATCTTATTAATGAAAAAGACGTGCAAAGATATCGTATGCGGCATCCGGCACTCACAGCTTCACGGACCACAAGGCAGGGGGAGTGAGTTAATAGAATAACTTTCTCTGAAAGTGATTAGACGCGCTGCTAACAGCTTGGTGTGTCCCGTCACCCATCGGCATGACAACAGGGGTAATGGTTACACCAATTGACGGTTCCTCGGGTCATATACCTGTGGCTCGCAATGCGCGCGCTCAGACTAGCGCTTTCAGAGGGAAAAGCGTGCGTGTTCCTCACTATCGTGCGGAGCGTCCGAATGGAAGCCATCGGCGGGAATTTGTTGTCATAAGAGGACGCTGTCTTGCGATGCCAGCGTTTATGGCGAAGCACCCATTGTTGTTGCTGTGCACGTAGACGTTGAGTAATTTAAACAAGTTCAAATCCTCCACGAACTTCCAGTAGTCATTCTCGTTAAGTGACTTTATTTATTTGTTTGAGCCCAGGAGGCCACAGCCATCCACCCTTGAAACACTGACTTTTTTCTTAGAGCCTGCACAGGGTGATTATTTGATGAACACAAATGCCGTCCTCGTTGTTATCTTTTCCTTCTATCCTGAAGATTCGAAAAGGCTTGAGGGGATGCTGGCGAGGACCCTGACGACTACGATTGGCCTGGTGCTCGTCGTTGCCTGTGGTTTCGTTGTTTAAAGGCGAGGCGTTGCCGTTGGAGAAATGAATGCAGTCGATTTGTCTTTCGATGTATCCGAATATTGTATATTAAGAAACTTTAGGAACTGTTTAAACAAATGACCCATTTGTTATACCCCTGTCAGCAAAATTCGCGTTTGGTCCATGTCGACTGGGCAGAGCGTTTAATCCACAAGCCGTGACTCTGAAAGGCAGTTGTGTAAATGGCAGTTGCCTATGCATCGTCACCTACAATTATATCTAGCAAGTCGTGGTATGATGCATTCCGTGTTCACCGTTGTATACTGCATTGTACTTGAATGTGCATAGTCGAAGGACTACGGTGCGTCCCTATCCTGTTCGAGAGAAAGTCATGATACGCAACAATAATACGTGCAAACTCATCAACAGACAAAGGCCCTCCGAGCAGTTCACTCGAAAATAATTATTCACTTCCCGGTCGGTTCCCGCCAACCTTATGATCTGGCGAAGAAGTGCGTTGGAGTTCCTGTCTCAGAAGATTTAAGAGAACGGTGTTACATGCGGCAGTTGAATGCTACTAACTTATATCCAGTCAATTAATTCGCAGTTGGCGTAATTAAGGAGAATGTCCGTTATTCCAACCTGGAAAAGTGCTAATCTGTTGAAAAAGTGACTAGGCAACAAGGACGTACCAGTCGTCCCGCGTTTACGATGTTACTGACTCTCCTTAAGAACCCTGGATGGGATGTATATAACAATTTGTTTGTGAATGGCCTACACCTCGTACTAACTACCTATGAATATCCGTGAATACAAGGGACTAAATTCTAACGTGGATAGCCTCACAGAACCTAGAATTCCATAATGCTCTCTGTGTGGAGATATTGGATTAGCATCATGATTGGAGTTTTACTATACACCGCATAACTGGCTGTTTAAGCCCGCAAAAGTGGGAAAGTAGTTCTTGCCCTTAAACGGGAATCCATTATCTGTTCCCATAAAACTCCTCGATTCAGATCTAGATTCTGGGCTGAGAAAGATAGTTAACACTAGCCTCAATACAAACGTCGTCTCCAACGGCTCATGCAAGAACCTGGTTAGTCTAATATCCAAGAACGGATATCGGTAACTAATGGGGAATTACCATCCTATCAGCCTCGCCAGACTGCATACTCATTGCTGGCGAAAACCATGGCGCATACGTGCAAAGGAGTCTGTCATTTCATGGACAGACACCGACTTGTTGATACCAACCGTAATGGGTTCGTTGGGGATGATCTTAAACAAAAACTTTTTTCATTACAAAAGAAGTTCTAAATAATAAGCACTGCAATGACACAAATTCTGTAACAATGCCTCCAGACATCCGCAAAGCAGACAACCGTCGTTACCACTAGGCCACTGACTCACGCCAATGTCGTTAAAAATAATAATACATGATATTAATGACTGTAGTGTTGGACGTTCTGCTGTCAGACCAATGCCCATAAAACGCGCAAAAAGTCTAGTGACGTTGGGGGATGTCACATACGACGATGAAATCTGTACCTCATGTTTCGGACTCATCCATAAGCTTTCAAAAATGGAGGGGGAGTTAAAAGGTCTTAAAATGGAGGTAGAAAAGTTAAGGCAGCTTACTCACCACTTACGTGAAGAGAAGAAGCCGACGAATTCGGCAATTCAGAATCCGAAAAAACATATGCAACCACGGTTTCTTTAGCCATATCAAACGCTGAAACTGACGAATGTTCGTCCAGGGAACTAGACACAGTTGAATGCCAGTCTCTTAGGCGAGAAAAAGACCAGCCGAAGCGAACTCAGATAACAAAGAAACATTCCAGAAAAACAACGCGCACCTCTGTACGGTCCAAAAAAGCGAAGGCCGCCTACGTACACGCAGACCAGCGAAGGAGAACGACCAGGAGGCCTACGAAGGACCGCCAGAGGCTTCCAAATATATTAAACAATAAAGATATAGGAACACCTCGTGGACCGAATATTCAGGAGGAGGTTTCGAAAGAAACTGAGGTAGACTTTTTCGACGAACACCTCGGAAAAACAGAAGGAAGGGTTGTCAACAGGAAGATAACTTAATCGTACACGGATCTCAGTTTCGCTAGCCCAATAGCTAGTTCATCCGAAACCAGCGAAACTAGTAAACTGGAGATGAACGCTCAGTCACTCAAAAGATGTGTGCCAACAACGAGCACTAGGTTCAGTCGCCAGCAAAATGTAGTTATAAAAGGAGTACCCGAATCAACGGCAGCAGTTCCAAAGGAGAGAGTTAAGCATGACTTAGACCTTCTTCAAGTATATGGGAAAACTTTGTTAAGAGACGATGAGTCACTAAGTGTTCTCAAAGCATTCCAAATAGGGAAGAGTCAGTCAGCATCCGGTTCCAATTCCCGGCCTCGACCCCTAAAAGTCATTTTGGAGACTGAAGCACAGGCCCAGCTTCTGTTACAGAGAAAATCATCTCTACGGGGTCAGCATCCTGAAGTTTCTTTTCAGCCGGATTACGAGCCAAAAGAGCGAATGAAAATGAGAGAGCTGATGACGGAGCTGGAAAAGCGGAGAAACAGCGGCGAAACACACCTACAAATCAAGAATGGACAAATAATTCAGGTCAAACGGACATTTATCTGGCCGAAGGCCGTCATTCTGACAGCCTAACCGATGCAAACGTGCCAACTCCTGAGGCTGTTCGAACCAATGGCCGCTGTCTAGAAATCTGTTGCACTAACTGTCAGAGTCTTCTCAACAAGCTAGATGAACTCAGATTACTAGTCTCTGAACAGAAGCTACACATAATTGTCCTAACAGAGACATGGTTGACTGAGGAAATTAGAAGTAGTGAAGTCAGAATTGAAGGCTACCAACTGTTTCGTTGTGACAGATTTCACCGTAGAGGTGGAGGCACAGCTATTTACGTGTCAAATGAAATTGCATGCTGTCAACGAGAAATATCCTATGGTGCGCCCCGAGATTTTGAAATAATTTCATGCAAGATATGCATCAAACAATTACCGACACTGAGCCTGTGTGTTGTCTATCGGCCTCCCAGCTCGAATGAAATCGCCGATATGGAATTACTTAGTGCACTGGAGTTGATATATAAGCAGGAGAACTTACTACTTCTGGGTGACTTCAACGCCCCAGGAATAGACTGGACCATTCCCCTAACAAACGCCCCGTCTACGTCATTTGACCACAAGCTACTACAGCTCTCCCTGAATGAATACCTCATTCGGCACATAAAATTCGGAACAAGAATGAGAGAAGGACAACGATCTAACTGTGTAGATCTCGTTTTCAGTAAAGAAGAAGGAGTCATAAAGGAAGTTAATCCACAACCTCCACTCGGTTTAAGCGATCATATTGCTTTTACCTGCGTGTGCTCTCTCCTATCCAACCAACAACCAAAAATCAACAGGCGCAGAAATATTTGGAAGGGTGACTTTAACGCAATGAGACGCACTCTTTTGGAGGAAACCTGGTTGGTCAACACAGAAGATTCAGACGAATTCTGGCAGTACTTTCGCGGGATTATAGAGCGTCTGATTGATTCCCATTGTCCAAGAAAAATGACAAGACCATGTATGCGACCGGCGTGGGTCAATCCGACGACAAAAAAGACCATGAAGAAGAAACAGAGACTCTGGAAAAAGTATTTGCAACTTCGAGATCCAAGGTCACTCGCCGAATATAAGGATCAGCGCAATAAATGCCGCAAAGAAATACGGGTTGCTAGAAGTTCTTTCGAGCGTCGACTGATAGCAGAATCCATTACATGTCCCAAGAAGTTTTACGGGTACATCCGCAGTAGGAGGAAACATAGGGACGAAATTGCGTGTCTAAAGGATAGCCTCGGAAACTTAGTAGTTGAAGGGTCACAGAAAGTGCGATTACTGTCTCAGTTTTTTCAATCGGTTTTTACGGAAGAGTCCCTAGAAGACAATCAGCAGTTTGAAATGGACCGAGACAGCCGGGAGCTTCAAATGCGCCAAGATATTGCCGTCATTAAAACCGTCGCCTTTTCCGTGGAAGAAGTCAGACGAGTCCTCAGTCAAATAAAACCTGATAAGTCTCCTGGACCCGACGGAATTCCGGGCTGATACTTAAGGAGCTATCAAGGGAGCTGTCAAAGCCTCTTTCGACTCTCTTTGAGCTGTCAATGAGGACAGGAAGGCTGCCCTCACAGTGGAAGACAGCTAACCTCGTTCCATTGCATAAGGGAGGTAGCAAGATGACAGCAAGCAGCTTTCGACCTATTAGCTTAACTTGCCTCCCTTGCAAAACGATGGAAGCTATAGTAAAGAGCGCTATACAGCAATTTTGTGAAGAAAATAGCATCTTCCAAGATTTTCAACATGGCTTCCAGAGAGGACGTTCCTGCCTCTCAAATCTGCTAGCTTGTCTGGAGATCTGGACCAGGGCTCTAGAAGAGGGTTTTGAGGTCGATGTCGTATACATCGATTTCCGCAAAGCTTTTGACACTGTCCCGCACCAACGTCTTCTTCACAAATTGAGCGCCATCGGCATCCGGGGAGATCTTCTGAACTGGATTAGGGCGTTCCTGGTTGGTCGGAAACAACGTGTCTGTGTCGGGGATGATATGTCAGAATGGGCGAATGTGACCAGTGGTGTGCCGCAAGGCTCAGTTCTGGGACCATTGCTCTTCATCCTTTACGTTAACGACAGCCTTCAGGAACTCGACTGCGGCAGAATAATGTTTGCGGACGACGTTAAGCTCTGGCAAATCATTAAGGGTCCGAATGATCAGAGATCCCTTCAAGATAATCTGCACCGACTGCAAGCGTGGTCGAAGAAATGGCTTCTAGATTTCAATGTGGAGAAGTGTGCCATCCTTCATCTGCGTCCAGCCAACTCTCATTCAAATTATAGCTTGAGAACATATCACCTGAAAGATATTAGACTCCCCGCAGAATTTTCGCAGGAGGATCTCGGTATTTAGATACAGAGTGATGTGAACCCAGCACTGCAGTGCAACAGGGCTGCACAAAACGCCATGGGAGTGCTCCATGCAATCAAAAGGACGTCCATAAACTTTGACCAAGACATTTTTGGGAGAGTTTACGGTATCTTTGTTCGGCCTCACTTAGAATATGGCCTAAAAGCATGGTGGCCATGGCTAGTAAAGGACCAAGCATGCCTCGAACGGGTACAATGTCACGCAACAAAGCTAGTAAACGGTCTAAAAAGCCAATCCTACACAGACAGACTGAATTGCCTTAATTTATTTCCTCTGAGTTACAGGCAGCAAAGCGGTGATCTCATCCTCGTCTACAAGATAATACATAACCTTGAGCATGGACTTAGATTTGAGGACATGTTTCAGTGGCACTTTTCACCCAATCTTCGTGGTCACCCGATGAAGCTACGGACAACAATGTCCAGGCTGAATCGTCGTTCTAATTTTTCACGCAAAGGGTAGTGAAGAAATTGAACGATCTCCTCAGTCAGTCGTGGAGGCGACGTCTCTGCAACTCTTCAAGAAACGCTTAGATGATTATTTGTGTCCCCTGTTTTCCCTCGACAGTCCGAATCTGAACTAATACCCCACAAACCCGCAAACGTCTTCTCTGCGAAAATGCTACTCAAATGAATTAAGTACTGTTTTAATGGTGAATATTTTTTGTTCGTGTACAGTTATTCTTAACGAGCTTACATGTGATCAATAGGGTTTTCAAAGGATTTGTCTATTATCCTTACCAAATAAAAGGAATAAACTGAATATTGTGCTCAACCAGGAAAACCTCCATAAGTTTATGTGGAACCAAGAGTTACACAATTTTTATTATATTGCACAAACGACTATGCAATGCGGAGAGAGCAAAATACTGGCAGCTTTGGAATCCTGTAAAACCGGGGTATACCCGAGGCCAATTCAGTGCACGAACAATCAACGTAAAGATGGCTGGTATGTAGTCCGCTCTTTCACAGTAGACATCCCGGTGGGAACTATTCAAATTGTATTATTGTACTCGATATGTGTGTGATTGTGCAACATAAAAAATTTAAAGGAGAATGATGTGATCATACGGCAGGAAGACACCCGGAGCGGGGATCGAAATCACGTCACGATTTTTTCCTCCATTACGCAGGTCACCGAATAGGCTCTTGTAAGTCTTGTATATTTGGCCCATGATTCATCTGAAGTCTTTCGGCCTCACGTTTACAATATCCCATTATCGTTCATATTCCTGCAATTTCTCGAGAGTCCCCACCAGTTAAAAAGACTTCCTCATCTTATTTCTTTTCTTAAACGAGATCTAAAGTTCCCTGTTCATTTACAGCAGACGGTTGTTTGTTTCTTTCGTCTGAGTGAACAATTTATATGAGTGAGTCTTTTAGTCAGCAAACTTGACAAACTCCACCATTCGTCAGATGTTCCCTGCAATGTGGTTGTCCACGGTACTGCTGTTACTTTAGGCCGCATGCTGTGAAAATCTCATTTTTGGTTTCAATCTGCTAGGTGAGTCGGGCTTTTAGAACACGGAAAACTCGAAGAATATTCCTTGGCGAGGGTCGTGCAGACTCAGTGCACTCATCATCTCGGACAAACCCGAGATTTTGACCTTTTGAAGGCCTCCTGTCCTTAGAATGTGTCCCGAATGTTACTTTCTGAAGAGCAGCTTTATCTGCCATCTCTACCAAATTATGATCGAATTCGCCCGGTTAACCCGAAACAGTTAAAATTGCCAGTCGATTTTAGGGTCGGTAAAGTCTCCAACACCAAGGGCATCCTCGTTCAAGTAATTTTATTCCTTTCCGGTAAGAAAAAACCGTCACGGTGGGCAGTATGGTTCAAGGGGCACGACACGATGATGACGAGGTCTTCGTATTAATATACATCGATCAACTACCATAGATCGTCCGTAACGACTGTGCACTATCCACCAGTGATACCAAAATCTTGAGCGAAATTCGACATTACGCATCTGTGTGAAAAAATACTGTCTTCTTTTCGAGTCAATCTATTAATGAGACCTCTCAGTGACTGCGCGGAAATTTGGTTCCACAATGAGTCTTTTGAAACCCTCTACGAACTGCACTAAGTAACCTCAAGATTTCGCGAATCGAACTAACAGTCGATCAGGCAACACTCATTTCTACCTGGCTAATGAAAGTAAAACGGTGTTTAAGCCTCTTGGATACTCATAAATCCAAACCTTCTTTATTCAATGGGATCTTTATTAGCTCTCTGAAGCGTTTCTTCAGAAAATACATATCGTGCTTACCTTGACCACAGCTGAGATATTGATCACGAGCATGTTCTGCGTACCTGGGACCTAAAATCGAGTTCTGTGGAAGTCTTAGAACAAAACGATAAAATTTGTCCGGACATTTGTTGTTCAAATTCACAACCAAGGCAGAGTAGACTATAGCCTTTGCAGTAGAAGAGGACTGTCAACGCATACGCCTGAAAATAACGCACAAGATACCCTAAGCCATAAAAAGATTTGTTCTCGAACCCTGGAAAGAGTTGTCGGATAGACTGGTGCTAACCCTTAAAATGACCTTTACTAAGAAGCGCCTTGGGTACTTGTCTGACTTACTAAAGATCACTATGATGTAGGTTAGAGCGGGGTTAAGCAATGCTCCCTCTTTAAGTCTGCAGCGAGAGGTTAACCGCCGTCAGAACACATTTATAGGTTTATTGCCTGATCTGCCAAAATCTCTGCTAAAATCCCACGATTGTTGCCTCTTGCTATTCTACGGTGTTGTTGTCATCTTTCCACAACATATCTATTGCAAATGATTTCGGTCGCTATTTTTCATTTGCGGTTTTTTAGATTTGATTTTTTCTTCGGTTTTTCTATCCACTGCTTCTTTCTTTTCTCCAGCATTAACCATCTCAATGTATATGAAGCAGCATTACCTTGAATGCGGTTGTCTATCTGCTGCAAACTTCGCAAAGAATTAATTTTTTGCCGTTTGGTTTTAGTTTTATATTCATGAAGTTTCTCGATGAAACGATTCAAGTTGACAAAAGGTCCTGAAGTCCTCCCTAATTCTTTGCTTCCGCCTCTGATTGACTAAGAACAATTAAGGGAGTGCAGTCGGCTACGTATAGCCTCCAGTGCGATGGAGCCCAAAGGTGAGGCTGAGGCCCCCGAGGTTACAATAAGTCGGTTCGTCCCTTCAAAGCCCCAAGTTGAGCTGCTCGATGGAATATGCAAGCCAACTGTTTAGTAAGCATTTGTATTTCTTAAGACAGTTCTTTAGTAATGTCGTATCATCAGTTGATCTCGGATGTCAAATTGAGTTAAGAAAAGTTGTTCTCTATATTCGTAACGCTGAGTACAATCCACGAAGATTCCCCGGCTGTGTTGTTAGACTAAGGGAGCCCCGAGTCACCTGCCTCATCTTTGGTACTGGAAAGATGGTCTGCACGGGGGGCAGGTCGGAAGAACAGAACAATCTCGGCGCAAGAAAATGCGCACGAGTTCTTCAAAAGCTCGGTTTTCCTGTACGTTTTTTTCACTTTCTGGTCGGTATTGCGTGACGCCTGGCAATTTCTTTAATGCCTTACAAAATACCGATAAACTGGGTTTCAGAAACCAAGTCATCTTGCTAAAGTACACCAGACGGGCGTCCTCATCCGCAAAGCCTATGAGGTCATTCTTACGATAATGGAAGGTATTCTTTTGGAAAGCTAGCTTGCCATGAATTGTGGCGAATAGACTTGATCCTTTAAATGATCATCAGGTAGCTATTCAATGCTACTAGGGTTGCAAATCCCTTAACGGCGGTATTTCCTTTCGCGATACTATGTATATTGTGAGATTCCAGTAATTACTCCAAACACTTGACACTTTCTTCTGTCCCTTTATTTTTCGTCTTTTACATACGTTTGTGTTTCATACACTTGCACTTTTGTCCTACGCCTAATCCTAAATGGGATTCTAAACTATCGACGATCTTTATTGATTCGCCCGGTGTTAAGCTGTTTCTAGTCAGTGAACCGAATTAAGCTGTAATTTAAATGCCCTTGTGTGCGATTTGAGGCTTGGTGCCGAGTGCTGGAAGAAGCTTATCGAAGGCTAGAAACGATAAGCAAACACGGGCGGACTGCACGCAGGACACAGAAAGTACATAAAGCGCGTCGCGTCGACATTAAAGGACTGAAGTCGCGTCAGGAGCAACAAGCGAGTGGTGCGCTTCACTTCGTCCATAAGCTTTCTTGTTCGAAACCTATCTCTTTGTCCCTGAAGGCCTCTCCTCTGCAGCGTATTTTTGTTCTGACGTACTTTTACGCCATTCCCTTAACCCCTTCTTCACATCGCTCTTAGGTTCTGTTCATCAATTTCCGCATACAGAACGTGGTTGCGATTGTGGATTTAAAGTTTCCGATCAGGCTTGAAGGTCTTCTTCTAGCGAATGAGCAGATGGCGCAGTAAGTTTTGTTCTATCTTTGTCTAATTGCCCGCATAAGGTTTTGCTTGCGTAATCAGCCTTTTTTACTGTTCATGAATTATGTATAAGCTGTCACCTTTGGACACAATGATACTTCAAGAGCCATTTAGCACCATGCCTCAGGCTTCCAGCAATTAAGGTTTTTCACGTTCTTAAAAGTGCGTACGAGTTTTAATATTGTATACCCTGGTCTACGGCTACAGTTTTCAGACCGTGCCTACCTATAATTACTCAAAGTGATGGCATACCAACGGACTTCTGTGTGTTAAGTGTATTCCCGACTGCATCACCAGGCGATTTGTGAAGCATCCATCTCCACCAGTGTCGAGTTTAATTTTCCTGAACAGCTTTCAAAAATCCATTTCCGCACATATTATTTTGAGTTTAAAATGCTAAACCTAACACCCATGTGGGGCCGCTGAAGTCAAGAACCGTCCGCAGTAGGTCGTCTAACGCAAAAACGTAATAATTACATTAGAAATATGTGGTTGCTCCCGTTAACGGTTTGCAAAATGTGGATGCAGCACTTACTAATAAGTCGGAAATTTTTTCTACCAAAATGGGCACTGAGTTAGTGCAAAATACCTCACATACTCAAGTTTGGCGACTGCACTTTTCCACTGGGCATCGCCTTTCAATTGTGGAAAACATTTACACTATCTAACAGTGCTGACTTTAGGTTGTTTTACCCCGTAAAATTGGCTTAGAGAACCATGTCTGTAGATCGTACCTCGTAGGACCTTGACTACAAATGCTTCCTGCGCATTCCACGTGACGCGCAAATGTTGGTCCAACTCCGCAAATTAAACCTTGGTCGAAAAGTCCATTCGATAGTATGTAGGACAAATACAGTGTGCTCCACCATACCGACGGCGCAGGCGCTAACCCAAAACCCAGACACATGCTTCACTGACTTTGTGCCACTGCGTGACGCAGCTGCGAGGGGTTTGGCTCATTGATGGGCCGGTTGATACTCCAGCTACAGACTTTCAACTGTCTTGTTTCCGCAGAGATTGATGCGCCAACTTGGAACAAACTCCTCGGGGCAAAAATTCCCTTCCGCGGTGACGGGGGCCGTAAACGTCAGGTGTCAGCTGTTGACTTCGTGGATCTTCTGTAATGACAGACTGCCCGTGTAAGACTTGTCGTCCTTGTTCGAAAAACGATATAGAATAGGTGCTTCATTAAGTCACAGTGACATCCAGCTAGCTATCCAGATCATAGGAGGGAGTGTAGGTGGTTACGTTTTAAGTCAGAGCCCTAGTCTGAATCCCTCGTTGATCGGTACATAGCGGCGACCAATCTGTAATCGAAAGATGTCAGCGATTGGAATAACCATTTCGAGCCTATTCATTTTTACCAGGCACCTGGTGCCCAACCCGAGGCCAGGGCGAGTCGCCTTCCAATCCGGACCCTTTTAACGTGTGGGTTCTGATCCATTTTGGTTATTTGACGGACGACGAGAAATCGGTCAGAGGTCACCATTCGAGTTCCACTTGTCACTGTCGGTAAGATTCCTTGGTCGCTATGTCCGCGAGTGGTGTAGACTGGAGTTCCAGGTCAAACCGGAATGGTTCGTATTCCCGCTTGCAATCAGAGCACAAGGCACTTTCCACGCACTGAAAAATAATTGGCTGTGGGATCGTGCCATTCTAAATGGATTGCAGTTTCTCCTGTGCCACCGTCCCCCCTCCCCCCTCTATCTCACTTCATGTCACACAATTTTTTCCTTCTCGACCTCCTCGTTGTATCATGTTGACGAATAATCTAGGATTTAAGCGCTCCCAGCAGGACACCGAGCCCTTTGGCTCAGAGGTTAGGACGTTGAAGTTCCAATAAACAGGTCGCAGAATCGAGTTCCAGGTTTTCCACGCCTGCGGGTTGGGTCTGGCTGGCTGATGACGGCTAATAAGTCGATAATGGCCATTCTAGTTGTTCTTGTCTTTGTCGGTAATGCTACACTCCCTAATTTTGCTGTCGCCTTTTTGTCAGATATGAACCCGAAATCTTTCCCGGCCTGGTTTACCGGATTGTCAATCCAAAACTTGTCTTCATCATTTTTGTGAATGGCAAGGTCGTAATTACGGGTAAGCTTGTCAAATTCATTTAGGTCTGGCTTGGCTATCTGCATGCACACCTTTCCAGGACCATCTCTCAGTCGTTTGTTTTCCGCATTTTCCAGGTGCCAAATCCGTGGAATTGATATATGAAGCATTTACTAAGGTCTACCCAGTGCTCCGCAATTTCCGAAAACTTTCTTAAACGACGCCCTTTGCTCCCCTCCTTATGACGCTATTGTAAATATATTTGTTTTCCTTCTTTCTCTTTGTGCTTAGCTAACAGTTGTTTATTTCTCAGGAAAGTTTATTTGATCAGGTTGGTTGCCTATTCATTTCTAAAACTGCAACGGTTAAAGGAAGGCTACAGATCTCTGTGACCCTATTTATGCCGGTGTCGTCTGACTGCAGTGTGGGTCGCCTTCCCAGTGGGGGGTAATATCGTTGTACTTTTGGATGCACTTGCTTATTTACTGTTGGCAGTTAGGGTTTTTCTCTACTCGGCATCTTGCGTCTTCTGAGAGGCCGATCTGTCACGAGCATTGCGCATTGACTCGATTCGGCCTTGGCCCGTGTCCCTAGGCCATCTCGGGACTGCTTATAAACTGCGTGCTATTTGTTGAGTCAACTAAGATGGGTCCTGCGGTCGTACACACACCTGCGTTTTCCGATTGGCTGCGAACGCCGTCTGGTAGTCCTCAGAGCCTAGCAGCATACGTCGTGTGACACACGGGGACGCAGATGGTCAGCTCAGGATAGCACACACACCAGTGATTTCGTATTTAGCCGACTCTGGAGTATCCCCTCACCTGTCCGATGGTATTTATTTTCTTCACTGAACCCCGAGCGCCTTCGGTCCCCACCCGCTACTGTATTATAATCATCCGTGCAATCGTGTTTGGCACATCGCATTGCCCCCACCGTGTGCATCGCTAAGGGTTGGTTGAAAACGAAGAGGGCACTTAATGTGACTAAGATGGCTTTACTTAAATAGGCTACTTAACTATGTACATTAGACGGGGGAGAGGGAGGGAGGAAGGGGCGGGGTTTCCCCGGCGTGCAAGGAGATGCATCTAACGACGGATCATCCCAGCATGATCCTTCATCTCGGCTTTCCATCTGTTTGCTCACTCGACTTCTGGTCTGACACAGCTGCAAAGTCGACGCCAAACTCTCCGCAGGACTCGCGCCACTGCCGACCGCCGCTGAAAGGACAGGTGTGGAGTTAATGAGGAGAGTGAAAACGCATGCTCCGTCCACTGGACTCAAGTACTATGGACTAACATGGTGTAGGAAATGACCTACCCGACGAGGAGTTGCCAGTGGTTCATGGGAACCTTGGCTTACGCGCAGAGTAACACTGCCAGAACGAGCCCTTATGACGGTGAATGTTGGCCTTAAGACGGCTGCAAGAAGGAGGTTTAGGGGCTCGTCTCATTAAACCGTATTAGTAAGGTGAGTTGGTAGCTTAAAGTAGACTCCCCCTACATGCATATAACACAGTATTTAGAATTCCAAGGGTTAAGCTGCTCTGAATGACATTAAAGTTGGGGTTACTGCTTACCCTGTTTCCTCTGAATGTGGATGCGTGGATAGGCTTGACGTTCAGCGTTACTCAGACAAGTCTCCGTTTTGATGGGCTCGTACAGCTCAATAACGCCGTGAGGTAGGCGTTCAGCCCCCACTTTCCGAATACTTGGAATCAGACTCAATTCACTGAAATGTAAGCAAGGGTAGGTGGTGGACACATTTAAAGACTGGCATATGGGCGAGGAAGTAATATGGAGACGGCCATTGGGCCCCAGTCTATGTTCTTTCTCGTCTTGACTTTAAATCTGACTGCCCTTTGGTATGTTTTGAGTGTGTAGTGTTGAGACATACTGGTAAAGGACAATTACCTGAAAGACACACGCTCCACCAGGCTGTCGACCTGTCCGAGTCGTGAAACCGAGCTTCTAGTCGAGGCCACGGAGACCGGATGCGTGGAGAACGCCTTTGTACATTCGGATGTGGCCTCTCCCTGGCTGCTGAGGCTTGGCAGCCTGGCTATGTCGACGTCTGTCGGATCCTCGTCGACGATGTCAAATGTTTGGCCATTGTGGGTTTGAGCAGGAGCGGCGACATGGCGTTGTGGGAGCTGGATGTCGAATGTCTGGCCAATCGCCGCCATCCGGAGAAGAGAATCCGTATGCCTGGGTGTCGGAACAGGCAATGAATGTTCAAATGATGAATCTTCTCCGGATGACGGTGTGGAGGGCGTTTCTGCAGAATGTACGATCCGGTAGGTGGCGGTGGATGGGGGGCAGTTGATGGAGCATGAGGCGGTGGTGGTAGTCGGAGGCAGTGGTGATGGAAAGCCGAGATCGGGGAAGGGGTAGATGTGGGGGAAATGTTGGGATGATCCGTCGCTAGATGCATCCCCCTGAGCAGCAACCGTGGAGTAATTACCTGGGGAAAACAACAGACGCATACAAGAACATTCGCCTAAGGATGTAGTTATTAGACACTGAGAGCGACGCTGTTTGTCATTGGTTATTTTCTGCACAAATCCACCCTACTCCCACCCTATTGGTTAGGTAGGGTAGCGTTGGACGTCGATTTGTCGACCATGGTTTAGTCATCCTCTTCTAACAGGACATTCCTACATCCCATCCCATCCCGACATCGCAATTTCTGACCGAACTCTTGATGTCTTTCTGCAGGTCTCGAAAGTTGGTTTTCTCTCAAATGTGGGCCATCCCATCCAGTCTCAACGTCTTCTGCCCAGGTTTAGAGTAAATGAGTAAGAAACAGATGCGAGTTGCTTTCCATAGGGCCTGGAAGAACGTATCGTGCTTCTGCACAGAAAGTGGATTCTCCTTACATCTTTCCAAGTTAAACCAGTAAAACCACTTCCGGCATATGTTATACAAACAATCTTATGGCAGCGTTCCAATGTACCTGCCAATGCATTCAGTTTTTGATAGCAAGGCCCTTTGGCAGGATACTCATGAATGAATCTGAGAAAGTGTCCAGTCATTAAGGGTTGCATTCAGTCAGTCTCTTATCTGTACTAACAAGACTAACGTACATGCCCAGCCTTCTTCATTCGGATTAAATAACATTAATGCATGGAGAAGACTTGTGTTTACCCCTTAATTGGTGCTAAAGGACACTGAAAACGCACAGCCAGCATGTAATAGGCAGAAAACTTGGCAACTTACCGTATATATCCAGAGCTTGAGTTTGTAGTTCCCTAAGCTTAGCTTCATAGGCCCTAAGAAGAGGAATAAGTACATTCTCCAGCCAGAAGTGAAAGAGGCGTAGAACCAGATCCGTCCGGACAGGCATCCTCTAGCAGACTGACGGGTGCTAGGTTTGGGTTGCTTTCAAAGGAGACAGTCATCGATCCGTGCCGTCTGAATCCGAGATATCGACCCGCATGGCCGATGTGCACGCGGCGGCCTCATCAACGCAGAGGTGATTTGCCGGTTGTGTGTGCTAAACATTATGACCATGGGGCAGTGTAGGTAAAGAGACCCGGGGTGTCCGAATTCGGCAAAAAGCAATCATTCTGTACGTGGCGAAGTGTATGACAGTTTATGCTGCTGCAAAGTTCGTTACTTAATCGTGAAAAAAGGTGGCAGGTGACATAGTGGGTAGAAATGAGCAGATTGCCCGATGATGTCCTAGTTATGATCGCCTTACAGACAAAGGAGATGGCAAGTTGGATGAGAAGTTTATCCGTTCGGACCGTTTAGGCGGATTTTCTGGTTTGGATCCGGGTACCAATCAGTCAGTCAATCAGTATATTTGAAATACATGATCGAAGCTCTTAAAACTCCATTTAAACGGCACAGGTGTGAAGAAAAATAGTTAAAATGAAAAGATTTTACATGTAGCTTTGGTGTGCAGAGTGGATAAATCTAATAGTGGAACACAAATGTGAAAAAGGTGTGACATTGCGAAATAACGGCGAAGAAATTCGTTGACTGCATTTGCACTGGGAGTAATCAGGTCCACAAAGCCCTTGCTGAGTCGAAATATACAAGCGCTTGGCAGCATGCGTTTGTAAGAGCAGAGGGCTGATGTGGGAATATCATGAGCCTAATTGGCCAATCAGCAGGCTTCTACGTTGACACCCACCTCCCTTTCACGGGTACCCCGATGCATACCAACGGCTGAAAGGCAAAATTACGCAATTTTAAGATTCCCAAAGATTGTCCATTTGGCGCGCAAAATGAGGCAGTACAGCATTATGCTCGAAACGAATGCATAACTGTTTTCTCTTCAAAGCCGTGCCTGAGCGGGCACTTGAATTTGTTTTAATTGCGGACCAAGTTTCTAACGCTCCACTAAGGAGGGGGTCCACTGTGTCTAACCTTGCAGGAGCAACTTTTCATTCACTGTGTCCCTGAGGAAGTTTGGGGCACATCTGAATGCCAATTTATGGCACTTTTATCGTCCTAGACGCTAGACACACGAGGTTTAACCTGGACCCAGTTAGCCGATGGATAGATAACCTTTTTTGGATCGGAACAACTTCTCGGTGGCGAACGCTAGCCGTGATGGCAATACATGGGGAAGGCGTGACGAGGAATGAGCGGGAGGGATGGGGGCTAAATGAAGCCTACCCAAATGACATAAATAGGTATTAGGTAGAGGCGAGGACTAAGTGGGGCCAGATACTAGATTGTCGCCCTCTCAGGCAGACCACTTTGTCCACCCCTTCCGGCCTTTTCCCTAGGCTTCGCCAAGTCTGCGCAAGCTCTTGACTACTGCCAAACACACGGGTGGCATCCGTCAGACGGAGGCTTTCACGCCACGGCAGCCACTATTCCTGTACTAACCGTCAGTTAGTTGGTAGGCTCGGACAACTGCGTACGCCGTGGGCAGTTCAAAGTGGCGGCTGGTCGTGCGTATGTCTGAAAGCCATGCCTGGGGTAGCTTCTCCTTCCAACAATCGCGGCTATAACCGCGGCTGATTCGGCCTATAATTCAGATGACCGGCATAGCGTTGCCGAGAGTTTCGGAGATCACTGTGCCTACATGTGCGGTGGGAGAGCAGTATGATATAGGTAACGAAAGCACAACTGTTTTAGAGTTGCGAAAATTCTCATGGAAGTATTCAGAAGACCAGTTGACGAGCAGACGCGTACCTTCGATAAATGATCATCGGACCAGTACATTAATATGGGATCAGAGTGCAAGTGATACATGTGGGAGATGAGAGAATTCGACTGTAGTCCGTCTTTCCATACAACTGGAATGCCCCACTGGACGCTTGATTCCTTTTCATCTGCAGATCCAGTTTTTCTCGTTCCACTGATGACAGAAGCCACTGTGCCTAGCGTTGTACGACCAGCTTTGTCATATTTGCGTCAAAGAAACTATTGACGGTGCCGCTTAAGTAGACTGGAGGCACATTCAAAAGGCCAATTCTGGCTTATTCGTCGTCCTTAAGGCTGGGAGTCCAAGGTTTTAATCGGAACTCAATGAGCCACTAGGTAGATGGCCCATTGGGAGCGGATCTCATTGTCGGTGGCGATCATCGACCCTAATGTGAACTCCTGAAAGAGTTGTGACGAGGAATGATCAAAATTTAATGGGTCCAATTAAGCCTACCCAAACGACATGAGTAGGTATTTAATGGGAGCGGGAACTAGATGGGGCCACATAGCCGCTCATCGCCTCTCCTAGCAGACGATTTTGTCCACCCTGCCCGGCCGGAGATCCCCCTCACTGGACAGCTACTTCCCTCATAGGCGACACCTGTCCCAGTCCCTCTCGTCTCCTTCTTCAGCCAACCGCTTGTAAATAACTGATGCAACAAGAGGCGAGCCATAATTGACAGATGTTGAAGCACTGACTACCTTCGGTCCCATAGGGCTGTTGACCTATCCGTCTGACATCATCAGCCTACCGTATGCGTCAGGCTCCTGCGTCATTCAGCGTATGTCCGGTATCAGGTGTTTGTTTGCCGTATTCCTGTCTGCAGAGGCCACGAATATGTCTTAAACAGACACTGTCGCAGCTTACACTTCGTTTTCGTCTGTCGACATATGACAGTGTTTGATTGGTCGTCTGCCCACGTTCCCTTGAACTAGATGATGAACTCGACTTACTATCAGACGCCAAACTAAATCGGTGCTTGCACACAAGCATACTCATTTTCCTGCCCAAATCTGACCTCAGTTAGTTTTCACAGGTAGTCTGTAAAGGGCACGCTTGCGTAACAGCGATGTGTTTGTTCTAGAACGAGTTAATTGGGTTTCAGCAAGTCCGCGAGAGACCCTAACGACCGCTTCTTTAGAAGTCTGTGAGTCACGGACTTCGCTCAGATGTCGTCAACCTATCTTGGTTTAGGGCACCTTTTATAGCTCGTCTCCCTCACGGGGGAAAGCACAGCTCTCCCTGGATAGGGCGGCTTTGTTGCAGCAGAGGGACACCGCTTTCCACTATGGGTCATGGTCTTTAGTGTGAGAACTACCAATGGCCTGGTCCGCTTGCGTGATTTCTGTCGCTCTCGCCGTAGGACTTCCGACCGTGATGTAAGACAGTAAAGAGCGTGAAGTACGGAGAAGAAGTGCGGAGGGAGGGCCGTCGACTGGACTATGTCCCGCAGTTGACATCATCGGTTCTCCACAGAGGCGTTCTCGTCAGCGGCGGCGGCGGCGGCAGCAGCAGCGACCGGAAGGTTGGCTACCTGTCGAGCTAGCTCGTTTTTGAAATGGAGATGGTGAGCAGACAAAGACAACATAGCAATATTCTGCTCGCCTGGGGGTCGCTCGCCTTGAGGTCTCCTGCAAGGCTCGCTCAACAATCTTCGAATCATGCTACTTATTCAATAAAATCGAAAATGTTCAGAGGGTTTTCACCCGGAAACTGTTCTCTAAAGCTTCGTCCGGTATTTCTTATACTCAGAGATGTCAGCTGGCGAACATTAAGTTTTTGTGGGTAAGAAGACTCGAAGCTGGCCTTTGCTTCCTTTTTCGCATCAACTCTAGCTCCAGTCCTTCGCTCATTGACACTCTCACTCCGAGAGATCGGTCTTATGCCACGCGCAACTCCTGCATGGTGATTCCGCCGCCCCTTTGTACTACATCTAAGCGCTCCCTCTTCTTTGCTTCCAAATATGCCTTCCTTTGGAATAATCTTCCTCCTGAAATTAGATTATCGCCTAAGTTACTGGTATTCAAGTCGAAATTGCGCAAACATCTTACACCGGAAAGCATAAAGGCACTGTTAACGGTCTCATTCCCGATCACTCAGATTCTTGACTTCGAGAAGGGTCCTCCTGGGATTTAGTGGTAGATTAAATGGTAACTCTTAATTATATCATTAGAAACCCCTGGTTTGGATTGGTTTCTAAATCTACTGCTATCACTCCCCCCATAGCGACAATTTTCGCGGTTTTTGATGTCATCTCCCGCATTCCGACCTCATGCGGTCTGTCGACGCTCACGGCGGAACCCTCAGTATTCACCGTCTACTAGTAGTTTGGTCGTACCTCCCTTCCCCACTGCTCGGCTGAGCTCGAAGCGTGCTGTGGCCGATCGCATCTGGGTTCCTCTCGTCTGGCCTCTTTGACGCAAATAGTCTCATGCGGCCTATCAAGGTCAAGGTCAAGGTCAAGGCGCGCAGCTCGATTTCAAAGATAAGTGAAGCTCTGCATTTATCTGGACATTCTTAAGTAATTAATGCCTGTTTTTTACTTGAGTCCGTTTTAAAAGTCGCCTTTCTATATAAGGTAAAATTTTTTTCCCAGTTTGTTTGACAGTCTGGCAAAATAGTCGTATTTTGTAAAAAATCCATTGTAGTGAATC